GTAGTTAAATCTTAATTTTAAAAAAGTATTGGCTATTCGGTGACTAATTTCGAGTTAGTGACATTCGCATCATGGCATTTTGCAGTGGCATCTTGGAATTAACACGTGGAATTGATACTATTCTCAAGTGTCTCTGGTAAATAACGATAACTTATTTGATCCTAGTGTTAGACTATAAAATTAGAAATCAATATATTATATTATTAGGCTGCAATTTGAAAAAACTGTAGACCTATAAATTCCTACTACTTTTACATACATACACATCATTTGTCTAAAACTTCTACTCAGACTAAATAAATAAATTAAATAATTTGAATAATAAACCAATATTAATGAAGTAATTTTTAAATTTTATAATGTTATAAGTCTATTTAAAAAATAACATTATGCAAAATTAAATGTTTAATAACATAGAAATTGAGAACTCAATTTAAAATGTAGTAATATGTAAATATTATAGCTAATATTTTATATGTTTATAATCTTTCGAAGCATTCTATTTAGGTATTATCAAATTTTATATTATATTTTTACAAGGGAAAAAAAATTATTTCTTAAGTACATTTTTAGATATTTAACTGTGGAAGAGTGTGTTATTTTGCCTTATGGCACAATTCAAACATCACTAAGATTATAATTTTTATATGGAAGTAAAGGTTATAGTTTTTAAGATGCTAATTATACTCTTCCATTAAAGAAAACACTACAATGTTACATACAGAAGTTTAATTTAAATCTTGGTATAAATGATGAGGTTATTCAATTACTAGAAATGAAAATTAAAAAAATGCTTCCTGATGAATGTCATGCTGTAATTACAATTGATAAAATGGCTATTTCTGAAAAATTTCATTTGAATAAAACTGGATGCATTTTTTGGATGATGTACTTTGCCATCATCAGGAAGCAGTTTGTAAAGTTGGTAACATATGCTTTAGTTTTTCTGTTAGGTGGGATAAGCACTAGATAAAAGCATTTTATAAGCAACTTCATATGTCTCAAAGTACTTAAGCAAACAATTTTTGAAATGTGAAAACACAAGTATAATGCTGCATGTTGTTGTATCTGATATGAGAAGTCAGAACCAAGCTCTGGTGAAAATATGGCATTATTTCTGAAGGTTATTTCGAATAAAAAAAATAACTGTATTTATCCTAACAATTCAAAATGAAAACTTTTTCATACTTGATCCTCCACTTCTATTAAAATATATTAGGAACCATTTTATCAATAATAATCCTATAGTTTTGCCAATAAATATTGTACAGAAATATAATCTTCCAACTAATGAATTATCATTACATTCACAAGATCATTAATTTGAATAAACAAAATAATGAGTTCTCGTACTTGTATGTAAGGATTAAATCATACTTTTATTGAATTAAATAATGAAACAATATTTTCACTTAAAAATTTACAAATTTATTTAAAAATTAAAAAATTGGCAACATAAATGCTATGTGTTCTGTTATCGGTACAAAAAGGTGCTGTGTTATATATAAATACAACATTAGATCTTTAAGATTTGTACTTAAATATTTATAAATTTCATTACTTTTTAGTGAGAAGGTTTTCTCAAGAAGTAATAAAGATCTTTGTTTTGGTAGTTCACACCAAAAATCCAATTCTCTATGCAATAGAATTTAAAAAAAACACTCAGAATTATTACATTATTACATTATTTTTAATATAGAAACAGCAAAAATACTTATTATAATGATAATGATTATTATTATTTAATTCATTTCATGACAGATTCAGATATGTAGCTACATATTTAAATTGAAAATAGTTCCATTTTAAATAAACAAGCATAATTGAAAAAGAAATACCATAGTTAGATCCACATAAAATGCCATCACTTGATTATCTATGTGAATGTGTTGTCCATAAAATAATAAAAAAGTTTTCTATCCTATCTCTCAGACATCATTAATATGCAGTTAGGATGTCACATCTGTTTCTACATCATAGCAATTATTTACTGAAATAACCATCCAACAAAGTATTTAATTTATTATTATTTGTGGAGAAACTGAGAGAAAGAAGATATACTTTTATGTAAATGCATCATGTTTGACTTAAATTCTTCTTCTTTTGAAAATTGCCTGACACGAAAAGTTTCCTATTTGTTATGGGATTTCTTCTAAATCGATTGAAGTTTATGTTTGTCATTCATGTTCATTTTCTCTTACAGATAATAAATAAAATGAATATAACTTAAGCTATATGATTTAAACGTTCGTTCTATTGAAATTTTCTTTTTTTTTTCTTCCTGTATTTCTTAATGACTTATATGATCTATTTAGAGAAACATGGGAAACTCCCTTTTCATAGGATATAACTTCCAACGTAAATAAAATGGTTTTTCATATCGATCTGAACAGAGAAACGATGGTATTAATATAACAAACTTTTTGATTCAATACGTACTGTACATTTCCCTGTCCATTTAAATTCATACTGGGGCATGTGGTTTCCATAAAATCGCCATTACAACAATAAACTAATCAACAACTGTCACAAATCTCTAAATAGGATTTCATTAATTTGACCAAAGATCTCAGTAAAATTAACCTCTCAGTCAATATTAATAGAACCAATGTTATACGGTCTAATAAAACCTCCGACTACGATAATTCTTATATTTTTATATAACTTGGTAACTATTGTTTTACAATTTTTTTTTTTTTTTTACTTTTATTGAAATAATATCTTTTCGTTTATTTTCTTGTTTTTCTGTTCTTATTTGACAGGATATAAGCCATACAGAACAAGCTATTGTATATGTAAATATCTGAAGCGTAGTGACGCGTAACGAAGCTGAGTACAACGTTGTGTTTTGCAGTTATTATTAACGTAACAAATAATAATATTAAAATCAGATATAATTCTTTTATAATACATTTCTGATTACCATTAAACTATTAAATCCATAAAATATCAGCAGTTTCTTATATACTTCAATTAATATTAATAAATTCTGTTGTATTTCTATTCGAAAAACATAAGTTTACGCTTCTAAAAACTATTAAAAATTAGTGAATAACATGTTTAAATATTCAAAAATACCAGAAATAAGCAAATAAAGAATAAATTAAAACGTTCAGTAAGTACTGTAAACGTAACTCCATCCGTAAGATTAGATTAATTATATTTTCTATAAACTTTTAACTCTATTAAATTAAAAGTAGGTACTGTACTTACGAATATTGAGTAATTTCTACACGATTATGTTCGTTCATTAATCAATTAAACTACTTAACAATTAAAGTTAGGTCCTTTGAATTTATTTCTTCTATTATAGCTATATCATTATTCACAATGTAGTAAACATTCAGTCTGAGCGTTACGCCTGGTTGTCCTTGAAAGTAACGTCTACACACTGTCTACATCTATAGCTGCCATCTACAGTTGTTAATAGATACTATTTCAGGAGTAAATTAATAGAAGTATTGATACAAAGTAATAATGATCGATATTTTTTATGATTCCTCGTTGAAAGAAGCGTGTATATTTAAGTAATTAGTTTGCTTTCACCTGTTCAAAAAAAATTTGGTATTTTTTTTTGTATGAAAGGGAATTAGAAAACACTTATAAAACTCTGAAACTATAAATTTGTTACAATTTTATTTTCATTTTAATATAAAAATTGTTCATATAACTTTACTGTTGATGGTAAAGCACAAAACAATTTATTTTTTCATTACAACAAAGAAATATTCTGAATAGAAAACATTTGGAATGTGGACTGGATTAATCTCCATTTTTGAGCAAAATTCACATTATTCTCTATGTTTTTCTATATTCTGGCCAATTCACAACCCAAATTAGTTAAAGGAACATTTTTAGTGACTGCGAAATACATTTTTCTTTCGCTTATTACTATTGGAAATATTCAGAAATGTATTGTCATTTAGACACAAATTTGAAAGTATTTTATCAAATCTGTTCCTTGACATTGTTTCAATAACACGAGAAAGATTCTTTTTTCTTCAATTTCCAATAAATAACATTGCAACTGTCACTTGCTATTTTATCATCAGTATTTTCTTATTTCTTGGACGGATTAAGCTACCAATGACACTTTTTAAATTTTTAAATTAAATATATAAAATTTCATATATTTACCCNTTCACATCAGTGAAGTTACTGCATCTTAAACTTGCCTGTCTCTCATCCTCTCTAACAAAATAAATCTGTAAGAATTGAGGGTTTTGTTGAGGTAAAGGTTGCAGACTACCAATTAAGTGATACACCTGAACTTGCACTTTGAAAGTAGGCATAAATCCATCTTCTATAACTTGTTTCGCTCCAAAAGAAGTCATTTGGAAGCAAGCATTATATTTCCTAATGCGGTCCATAAAATGCATGTACTCGGGATGTCCATGAGCAAATTATCGAGCAGCTCAGAGAGAGGCAAAAAAGCAAGAAACCACACTTTACCGGCGCTACAGCACATACCAGGTGCCTCTTCTTTAAGGTTGAGGGCGTTACAGTGTACGCATTTATGACTCATAGTGACCAGGGATACTATTTTATCGGTTTCATAAACCATCTCTGAGTCATATTTCATCACGGAAAACGCTTTAATCTTCCATGGAATAATCTTCCGTTCATTTTCCTTGATTATTATGCTCATGTCTACGAACGACTGCTCTGTGAACCTCTGGATGATTTTGCTGGTAATGAGTTGCTGCTGCTCTATGAACTTTCGGATCTATTTGTTGGTATTTAGTAGCAGCTTGTATGAGTTGTTTTTTCTAATTGCGTTCGTAAATCCAGCACGACGTTTTTAGTACTTCTCAGAGCTGGGTATTGTATCAAACTTAACTGAATTAAAAATGGATGTTTACAACTCTTATTCATAAGGCAAATAAACATCAAAATGCCCATGAGATAGGTCTTGCATAGAATTAAAACGCGGTCGCTTCACGGAGCTCCCTTCTACACCAAATTCCTCATACAGTTCCCCATTGCAGTAAACTTCGAAAGTTAACAGAAATATTTGTCCGGCTGCTGCTAACTCGCATAAACCTCCATAAGTATGAAATCGCGACATATCGTCGAAGTATTTGACAGAACTGCTATAATTATTTCCATTACTATCATTTGACATAATCGAAAAATCATCCCAGTGAATCATCACGTAAGCCACTATTTCTGCACGTACTTCTTCGGCCATGACTTAAGTATCATACAAAACAAAGGATATTGCTCTAAAGAGGCAAGCTCCGTCGCGTATAATTGGAACGATGGTGTGGGGCGACATAACACTATTTATATTCAGTACTTCAACAACCATAATAATTATTAACTTTACAAAACAAAATGTACAGAAATTAATATTATACATTATTTTTTAAAATTCCTTTTAAACTAAATTTGATTTACTAATGGACTTTAATCGATTTGTCCTGCGAATGGCTCTTTTATTAATCGAAAGTCATGGCAGTGGCTCCGCGCCAAGTAAAGAGACTGACTATATATACAGAAATCAGAGTTGCCGATTTTCGGGGGTCGGTTTCTCCGTCCCCCAAACGCCTATAGTAAATCTGAATATCTCGTTCGAAAGATAGTTAATTTCTTAAATGGTTTGTAAAATTTCAGATTTTTCTATAAAAGGGTTGCCAAAATATAAGCATTCAAAAAGTGCAAAAATCTCCAAAAAGCTGCATTTTCTTCTTTTCTTCCGGCATTGGAGACGTTTCTAGAGAAAAATTATTGGATCTAGAAAGCTCAAATTTTATATTTAGGCCTCTCTCGTTATCAGCGAGATACTGACAAAACTTCCGGGTCGATAGGTTAAAGTTCAAGGGCGTTTTCAATAGAGCAATTTTATTTTAATCACTTAATTAATTTTATGTTTCTAAGGATAAAATTGCATCGAAACGAAAAATTGTTAATTCAAAACTAATTTATTTACTTATCCGTGAGATAAGTAAATAAATTTTCTTCGCGTATAAAAAATATTTTTAATATATAATCTTTATATCAAATGTATCATATTTGCTAATAATCGTAAAATACTATATACACAAATACATGTAAAAATTATATAAAAATTGAAATTCGGAAAGTATAATTTTGTTCCTCTTTGAAATCAACTGTTGATGAATTACCGATAGTAGATATCTGCAATTCGGAATTTATCCTAAATTCAGTATTATTTTCTTTATGTTTCAGACGGATTGTTCAGTTGATGGATGCAGATAAGTACTAGTTGGAGCGGTCTGTTGAGATTGGAAAGCATCTACAGGTTGCTGTGGCACCAGGGTATATTGTTGAGGATATGAATAAGATGGAGGTGGTGGTTGTTGTGGATAATATCCAGATGAAGGGGATGGCTGTTGTGGATAATGTCCAGATGAAGGGGATGGATGTGGTGGATAATATCCAGATGAAGGGAGTGGCTGGTGTGGATAATATCCAGGAGATGGAGGTCGTCTGTTCAGTGGTGTTGCAGTAGCTAAATTCTTGCGTCTTCTAGTTTGCTTAATCATGTGACATTTTGCAAAAATGCATATAAAAAAGGAAGAGATAATGAATACAGCACCGATACAAGTAAGAACTAAACCAACTATATAAACTATATCAGTTATTTTCTTAGTACGGGAATCTTTATCTTCTCTTCCTTTCTTAAAAAAGTCATCTTGAAATCTGGGGTCGTCATCCGCTTTAAACAATTCATCACCATGTTTACTTAAGATCATTGGTATTATTCCGCCAATTAGTAAAACTATTCCGAAACCCAACAGGCACACAGAACAACCATAGGATGCCAGTCTATATGGAGGAACATAGGAATATGGCATATATCCTCTATACCAAGGATTTCTTCGAAGGTTTCTATGATGTCGTGGCAGAGGCATGTTTACCTGAAAAATAAAATATTACAATATTCAATCATGCATTTAAACATGTTATCATATATTAAATAATATTAATTAATCCTAAATTTAGAAAATTAACTACAAATTAATCCTGCATTCCTACAAAACTGAAAACTTATACAACTTATAATACTAATTAGTTTTATTTGTACAGGTTGATTCAAAAGTTATCCTATAAAACACAGATCATTGGAAAGAACACATCTGTAATACGTGTATAACATCAGAAGTGTTAACATGTGTGAGAAGAAATGGTGCTCATGTCTTTCACATTCCGTGATTTAACAGTTAATTGTTTAACAAGATGAATCCTTGTCTATGTATTCAATCTTTTAAATCAAGTATAATAGTGAACACACAGTCAACCCTTGATATAACGCCAAAAATTGATGTGAATAGATCTTTCGCTATCTACATAATCAATCTAACAATATACCTTCGGAATTATGCCATCTCACTTACTGTTAGTGCCAAGAAATAGAGAGTTAATTTCCCCAAAATGCATTTTATTGAGCAGTTTTTACTTATCTGTGCTCTTATGCTTCAAAGGGATATCTATCTATCCAGTGGCATCCTCTCTACAGATTGCATTTGATGAACTAGTCCTCTCCAGGTTTCTCTATTCCAGGCATCTCTTAAATCCTTTCCAGTCCAGTCTTTGATGTTATCTCTCCAAGTCTTTCGGGGTCTTCCTCTAGGTCTTGTCTCCTCCACCAGTCCCTCAATCACCGTCTTTAGTAGTTGTCCTCATGATCCTCTAGCCAAATGTCCAGCATATCGTACCTTTCTTTGTTGGATATTTATAAGCAACCTTCTCCTCAAGACCAGCCTGCCTAAAACTTCCTCATTTGTTATTTTTTCCGTCCAATTTATTCTTTGCATCTTTCTCAGGCACCACATTTCAAATGAGTTAATTCTTTCCATCATTTCATGCGTAAGAGTCCATGCTTCGCATCCGTATGTTAGTACACTCCAGATCATTGCCCTTAGGATCTTTATTTTTAGTTTTATGTTAAGGCCTCTGTTTGTTAATATATGATAAATCTGATAAAAGGCAGCTTTTGCTTTATTAATTCTGCTTTTAATTTCCATTTTACATCTATTATCACTTGTTATCCAGCTTCCCAGGTATTCAAACTTTTTAACCCTTTCAAGTTCCTTATTTCCCAGAATGATCTGGAATTCCTCCATATCTTCCTTCTTTGAAACCTTCATTACTTTTGTCTTCTTTTCATTTATTTTCATATGGAATTTCTCCAATCCAGTTTTGAACAGTCGATTCAGAATTTTCTGTAATCCCTCTTTACTTTCACTCAGCAGGACTATGTCGTCAGCGTATCTTATGTTGTTTATTAAGCATCCATTGATTTTCACTCCTTCGTTAAAATCCTCAAGTGCTTCTCGCATCATCCACTCACTGTAAATATTAAATAACAGTGG